ATGCGGTTGACAGATGTATTGACATCCAGAGACTAATTGTGGCATACATCTATTTTCAAGGCTTACAGATAGAAAATGTCTTGACAATGACATTGAGGGTTGCTAGACACAAAGGTTTTTTAAAAAATGTTTGTTTTTATGTTCTAGAAACTACTTTCTTGAAAGTCTTCAAAAATGTGGTAGTGTCTCATATTTCCCCATTAATTCTACCTGAAGGCAGTGGAACAGCTTTAAATAACCACCCAAGAGCTAAGATGTCTAAGTTTGTCACCAGTTCTGCATGCTACCTGAAGGTGTTCACCATAAATCACAACCATTCACCACTGGATGTTCTATAATAATAGAAATTAATAAAAGACATACTTAAAGACCTCCCAGAGCCATTCACAAGACTTGTCCTCAGATGCCTTTAATATGTGAGAATTAAGGTGAAGAATTTCTCTGACATAAAGAGAATAAATGTGCAAAAGGATGCATTAAATAAGATGTCATTATCTCTTATCTTTGTAATCATAAGTTTAATGAAGGTAGATCTGTGAGGATTCACTTATGTGTTGCCTGGAGATGTGATTACAGAAATTTAAACCTCTTTAATCTGGAATTTGGGTTAAGAATCAGCATGAAATTAGAGAAGTGACAATATTTCTTTTTTAACCATGCAGACGAAATATAATCCCAGTGGAGCTTTTCTTAGAACCCATCTGGATGCTTGGGAAAAGTAATATGAAGCATTCAAAATGTGCATAGGCATAGAAAATAATGAACATGTTTCAGTGTATTTCAGTGCAGTTAAAGAATTTCAATCCATGGGTGCAAAAGTAAGCTTTAACCCAAAGATTTCTATATTGCATTAGCACTGTTTTTCTTAGATAAAATGATATCTTTTAAAATATTCTGATTGTACAATATGAAGATAGAGACAATAACAACAACTCTCAGGGATGTTGGACAGCTCCTCCCTTGTGGTGTAAGGAAGAACATGGTGCCCAAAGAACTTTATGCTTTCCTATTTCTGGGTCTGTTTCTTATGTCTCATTACAGAACTTTCACCTTATGTCTATGATTCTTCATGTCATATTGCATTTGAAACAACAAATAAACAATCAAAATGGTGTAGTGTTATTTTCCCCTCATTTTCTCCTTAAAGCAGACAAGGAAACAGTGCTACCATTTAGAGTCCTTCAGTATTTATCAGTATATGTTTCTTCAGTGCACTAGTTCTCTAGATTATGGTCATGACTCCATGGCCTATGATATCAAAATGTGGACTTTAAACATGTGCAACTTATTTTGTGCCAGTTACACAGTAGCAAAAATATTTTTAAAATTTAAAAATTCCCCACACCCATCCCTTCTAAATTGACACTGTCCAATCAACTGCTGCAGCTATTTCAGTTGTTAAAGTGAAGTAAAATTAGAAGCTCTGCTCCTTAGTTGCACTGGACACATTTCAAATGCTGAGCAGCTACACAGGGCTTGTGGCTATGATTAGACAATGTAGACTCAAGAAAAATCCCACTGCTGCACGTCAAGTTCATGGACAGTATTGTTGTCAATAATTCTCCTACTCACCCCTCATTTCCATTTTCATGCCCTACTTCTGCCCTGGTCAATCAGAGGACTCTACATTGAAAGCAAAGCACCCACATTGAAACCGAGTTACATTTTCTAAAATGCAAATCTGCCTATATCACTCTCCTGCTCAAAATCTCTCATGTTCCCCACAAGAGGAAATCCAAACTATTGCAAAAGGAGCTAAGGAAAGCTCCCTTTCCATTTCCTGCCCTGTCCCTTCCTTCTATTTCCATGTTCCTGTTCTAGGGAAATGTTGATTGATTCACCCTTTCCCACTAGAAAGCTCTCTGATTGCACTAAATTCTCTGATTCTCACTAGCAAGTTCTCTATTTGGTACATTTGTGCTTATGCTTTCACATTTAACAAACAGTCTTAGCTGGGCATGATAATCTCCAAAGTCTGAGTGGCTAAGGCAGAAAGATTCTAAGTTCCAGCTCAGGCTAGGCTACTTAGTGACCCTGGCTCAAAATAAAAAATAAAAAATGGCTGGAGGTGTAGCCCAATACTAGGGCCCTGCATTCAATGTCCAGTGCGCCACCTCCATCCAGAAATCTTATCTATGGAGTCTACAGCTCCTTTTGGACCATTTAAGTGGCTATCATTTTTTCCCCCATAGCATCTGTATATGAGCCTATTTGCTGAAGGAATTTATTGAGATTTTTCTGTGTGAGTTAATATATAATATATAAGAGAAAACATGTAATATTTGTCTTTCAGAACCTGGCTTATTTTGTTTAACATGATGATCTCTAGCATCCATTTTCCTACAAATGTCACAATTCAATTCTTCTCGATGCCATGAAAATAAGGCCATGTGCAGTAAAGAAAAGCTATACAAAAATGATCATGTTAATACTTTATCAGTATCTTCCAGAAAGGAGAGAAAAGATGATATCCAGAACACAAGGGCAGGATGCTATAAAACAAGAACATTCAGGAGGCAGAGAAGCTGAGCCAGTCCCAGCACCCGGAAGGACGCTCCCCCGCCACCGTCCCAAGCTCCTAGGGCAGAGAAGGTGAGCCAGAAACCCCCCTCCCCCCACACACCGTGGAAACGAGAAGACACGTAAAGAAGCCTCACAAACAGACTTCTGGATCACCTACAGCAACCCCAAAGGGAAACGAAATGGAACAATCTGACACTCAACCACCTGGACTCTCGGAACTGGCAACAAAAGAGATCTGGGAAAAATGAAATCAGAAATAATTATTCAGATAACAGCAAAGATTGTCCTCATGGTGCAAGACATGATTAATAAAGCTAGAGAAGACATAGATAAAAAAATAGAGGATCTGAGGAACATGATGGAATCCCAACATAGGAAACAAATGGCATCCATAAAACAGATGCAAATAGATTTCCAGGAGATTAAAAACTCCATCGAAAGTCTGCACAGCAGAAAGAACCAATGTGAGGATAGAATTTCAGATACAGAACATAAGATTGCAATTAGTGACCAGGAAAAGAAAAATTGCTTTAAAATTGTAAAGGAACACGAGAAATCAATGCAGCAGCTGGTAGACGATGCAAAGAAGAATAACATAAGACTGATTGGAGTCAATGAAGAAAGAGGAGAGAGTGCAGATGACATAAAAAAACTGTTCACAGAAGTGATGGCAGAAAACTTTCCAAGGAGAAGAAAAGAACGTGACATACAGTTAAGGGAGGCATATAGGACTCCAAATAGCCTTAATCAAAAAAATCTACACATAGGCATATAATAGTTAGGATTCCAGAAATCCAACAGAAGAATAAAATTCTACAAGCAGTGAGAGAAAAGAAACAAATCACATACAAAGGAAATTCCAACAGAATCACAGCAGACTTCTCAAAGCAAACCCTCAAAGCAAGAAAAGCTTGGAGTGATGTATTTCAAGCCCTAAAGGAAAACAGCCTCCAACCCAGATTGATGTACCCTGCAAAACTATCTTTCAAAATTGATGGAGAAATAAGATACTTTCATGATAAAGAGTACCTCAGGAACTTCATGAATATCAAACTGGCACTCCAAAAAATTTTAGACAAAACCCTAGGAAAAGACAAGGAGGATCACAACTCCAGGAAACCCAACAGAATGAATCCATTGGGCATGACAAATTAAATGCAAAGGGGGACAATCCAACAAAAAGAAAAAGTCATGACAAGGCTTTTAAAACTTTTGACTTCATCTCCCTACTGAGTGTATAATTCAATCTTATTATTGTACTGATTAGTATTTTTCTGATTCTAGAGTTGCACATCTTTCCTTGTGCTATACTGGCTATTTATCATCTTCTTATGTCCACTTTTCAATTGGGTTGTCTATTAATGAGCTCTAAGAATTCTTTATATATTCTGGTCATAGGTTATATGCATTGTAAATATGGTCTGTTTAAGGACTACTTTTCATTTTAATGATGTCATTTTAAAGTTCTAAATTTTGATGGAATCTCATTTATCAATTTTTTTTCTTTTACACATCATGTCTTTTGTATCCTAGGTAGTTCTTGCCTACCCTGAATTCATAAACATTTTCCCTTATAATTTCTTCTTGAAGTTTTATACTTTTAGGCTTTCTTATTTAGGTTCATAGATCCCTTCAAGTTATTTTCATGTATGGAAATAAAGGGTTGAGGTTAATTTAAAAAAACAAAAAAACAAAAGAAACAAGAACATTCAGGAAACAATACCTTGGGAAATTAAAAAGACGTTAGAAATTGGAGAACTTAATTGATGAGTTAAAGATAAAGAAACTTCCAAGACAGTAGAACAAAAGATGTAAAGAGATTTTTAAAAATTAAAGGAGAGATTGCTATTCCTTCTTAAATAAATCAAACATCACATTTATTAATATGTGAAATAAACATAATAAAATATTTATTTAAAGGGAAGATAATTTTTTCATGGTCTGGCCTGGATCGGTCCTTTCTGACAACATAAGGGTTGAAGACATAGCGATACGGGAGTCTGAAAAGTGACCTTGCCCTGAGGTTGATTGGGATGAACACCCCCTAAAAGGGACTGGAATCCAGCCCATGGCTGGCTGTTGCTGAATGTCATCTAAGACCATGCGATAAGAGAGCAAGTTCATGACCCCCTTCACAATAATCTTTTAAGAGCTGATGCCAATTTCCCCTTTTGATGTGACCGTCGTATTCCTTGAGGCAAAAGGTTAAAACCCAGGTCGGTTTTGAAATGTGTGGTCACAGATTCTGTCTTTCAAAATCATAGATCTTTCCACCGCCTATGAACTTTAAGGGTGATGGAGTTGCTATCTTAAAAATTATTGATTTTCTTTAAAAGTTAAAAGAGTTCTGTACCCTTTATGGTCCCCTTTCTCGGTGTTCATGTTTCTCTTGTCGGAACTTCGACACCTCTGGTTTATAACACTAATCTTTTCCTGAACTACATTATTTATCTTCTCTTCATGTTTTCTTTCTTTAGGTGGATTGTGAGACCCTGAAGGACAACACATAACTCGCACCTCTAGTTTGCCTCCTGACCACATTGCACAGGAAAAGTAGTACGGACTCTCTCTCTCAAGTTCGTATTAGCCGGCTGAGCAGTTGCTGTCCACTGAATGCTTACAACAGCTCTATGAGGGAAGGAATGTTATTATCCCCCATTTCCGGATCAGGTAACTGAGGCTTAGTTGTTAGTGAGGTCCCCCCAGCCAGTGACTGCAGCTGGGACTCAAAGCTGAGCCCCTGAGCTCTCTGAACTGGTTATTCACTCTGTTGTTCTTTCAGACAAATAGTTTTTTTTCTGCTTAAGGACGGTAAACTTGGGAGTTTGTCACAAAAGGAGTGAATGGTGAAAAACGGTTATTTCTGCCTCTCCTGTCCCTCTGCACTTGATTATGTTTGTCCCTTTTCACTGACTCGAGGGCCTTGGGCTGGGCAGTGACAGTAAAGAGGGAGCATTGGAGGATTTAAGATCTAGAGTTGTGGTGTGTCTGGCCACAATCAGTATGCTAATCGCTTAACAATCCTCAAACAATTTGACAGCAATATGTGCAGCGGGGTACACGCTTTCCATTTCTACCCCGACATGGCCAGCAGCAGAAAAGAATCCGGTTCATGGGCAGCAAGGGGCCCGGCAGAACCCCAGGTCCACACTGTCCCTGTCCGCACCCTTGTCTCTGGCTCCCTCGCCTGTCATTTCTCCAGAGAAAAAAAGGGGCCCAGGCTCTGCACACCAGGAAATCCACTGTCTCGAAGAAGGAGAAAGTGTGAAGACTTTTGAGGACAGGGTGCTGCGGCCAGGATTTGAGGGAAGGGGCTGGAGGCTGATAAATGGGCAGGAATAATGAGTTGAAAAACTGGCTTGCTAGAAAATGGCCAGAAATCTGTGAGAGGGAGAAGGATTCCTGTGGGAGAATACGATTTACCCCAGAGCCACACTCAAATTACCTTTATTGTATTGTCTTTTGAAATGTAGCAAGTATACATACCGGCTCATTTTAAATCATTAGAATTTCACAGCTGAAGTTCGAGAAATCATAAATCAGAATCCATGCCTGAGTGATCACTTAAGAAAGAAGAAATAGGTCTTTTCCTGTAGTATGGGATTGATAATTTTCCCCTTTACTGTTTGAAAAGCTATATTGAAGGTAAGAAAAAAACCTTCACTAATTTATAGGGAAGCTGACAGTTTCTCCCAGTTTTTAGGGCTTACATCTGCACCTCTGCACAGGCACGTCGGAGAGATGCTTCAGTTTCAGGAAAGTCTCTTTTGGTTGTCAGCTCGATTGATGTTAAAATAACAGAGCACTGTGTGGCCCAGATAACTCTTCTTTTGTTAGGCATGTAGAAAGAAGTTAACTTAGGAAATGTCATTTGCAAAAATTAAATAGCTCCAAAACTGTAAAGGGCATTTGTCAAGAGAGATTTGCCTAAAAACAGCCTGCCTAGGACTTTGGTGCCACTACCAAATGGGTAACTTCACCCACGTGTTTTCCCCTCTTATTTATTGAATGTTCCTTTGTCCTCTGGGACTGTCTGTCCCTGGCCAGATAACAACGAGGGAGACACACAGGAACCTGAGAACATGAGTGACAAATTGTTGTCCTCTATGTGCAAAAACTGCAACCCAAAAGTGAGACAGGAATGATTTGCGAGGTGATGCAATTGGTTTCATCAGGTGAAGAGACTCTCAGCAAGAAGGCAGGACATTTGGGGAAGAATAAAGTTGCCTACCAGGATAGAGGGCCTTGCAGCCTGACCCGGGCTGAGCCAAGTCCTCAGAGAGCGGGGAAGTGGGAGGCACCCATACAATTTGGAGAGGCACTCTCATTTGCTTTTGGTCTAGATACTCTCTTAAAGCAATATGATTGATAATGCAGTGTATTCAAGTACAAACACACCATTTGTTTTCTTTTTGATAAGAATTGTGGAAGTAAGAATTTATGAGGATTTCTGTGTTCACAGGCACAAACCAAAGACAGGCAGTACCTCTGTGTGTGGAGTTCAATGTTTTATGAGTCCTGTCATTGATACACCAAGTCTTCCCTTGTCTGTGATTTTCCTTTCCATGATTGGAGTCAACCACAGTCTGACAATATCAATATTCATCTTGACTTGAGAGAGACAGAGAGAGACTATACTCATGTATTGTTATAACTGTTCTATTTTATTATTTGTTATTATTGTTAATCTCTTCTTATGGTTCATTTATAAATTAAACTGCATCATAGGTATTTCTTCATAGGAAAATATGTAAGATACATGGTTTGGTCCTACACATGGTTTCAGGCACCCACTGGGGTCCTAGAAATATATCTCCCTCTGATACTGTACTAATAAAAAACATTTGATTAATTATGTTAGAGAAAAAGTGAGTTATCTTTCTATTTTCTCTACTGAAAGTCATAATACAATACAAAAAAGTATGAGTCACAACAAGGATAAGGATAAAGTAGACTAAAGATGTGGCACCTAATTAATAAGAGTATGGGTTACTTTCTTGTATTTTATGCTTTTGGTAGTGTCAATGTTGTAAAATTAATGGTGTGTTGTGAATATATGTTGGCATCTATTTTTCCTGTTTGTAATTTTGTATTACATTCTTTTTCTTAGAGGGTCTTCAAATTAATCTGCTGTTCCAAAACATTGTATCTGCTCCTGGTTCAGTAATAAAAAATACCCCAATGCTTGTATATTGAATTCATGTTTTAAAAATATATTCATGAACATCTTAGTAAACAAAATAAATATTTTGTCATTAGTGGAAATAGTGTGCCAATTTTTTCCCCAACAGGTCTAAATGTGGTTTCACTCAATGAAATCAGTTATTCTTTTTCTTTAAATTAATTCATGTTTGCAGTATATAATGTTTAAATTCCTTGTGAGGAGTTGGAATATGTACATAACACATCTGAATTCCCCTTTTCGTCTTTTTCCTCCTTTTTTCCCTCCCTCCAACTCTTGATCCCCTTCTCATTTAAGAAAGATCTATTTTCCTACTTCCCTTACCCATTTTTTGTTTTGCTCTTTATTTATATTTTGCATTTGTCATGTGAGAGAAAACATGTGATATAAAATCTTTTGCATCTGATTTATTTCACTTAACATTATAGTCTCAAGATGCATCCATTTTTCTATAAATGACTCAAGTTAATCTTTCTTCATGACAGAGCAGTACTCTGTTGTGTGTAAATGCCACTTTTTCTTTATCCATTCATCTGGGATGGACATATAGGCTACTTCCAAGATTTAACTATTATGAATTGTGCTGCTTTAAACATGGGTTCGCATATATCACTGTAATGTGGTGTCTTTAACTCTTTCAGGAAGATGCCTAGAAGGGGGATAGCTGAGTCAAATGGAGTTTCTATTTTCAGTTTTTTGAGGCATCTCCATTCTAATGTGCATGGTGATTGTGCTAGCTTACATTTCCACCAACAGTGTAGAAGAGTTCCTGAATCAGCTATTCTTTACATGCAGACACTGCGTTATGGAGGAAAAGATGTGGTCCAGAGACCAACAGGAAAACATCTGAATCCTAGTGGCGCCAAGGACCAGTGATGAGCCCTTAATAATGTTACTGGTCTCCCCAGTTATGACCTTAAGTCACCTGGTTGAACCCCTGGAACCAGGGCCCGGCATCCATGTCTGACCTCCATGCAACTCACCCAGATGGCACTACCAACGTCAGCAGTCTCAGGCACTAGGGACAAGGTAGAAAAATTGAAGTGGGCACTCCACATGGGGCTCCTAAGACGTGCAGGCCCAGAGCAGGGCCCACTCTTCAGAGTGACAGATACCAGGGTGACGTGGGCCTCATAGAATGTGTGGGGAAATTGTCATCTCTCTCCTATCCTCCTCTTTCAACACTAATAATTTTTTTTGCCTTAGATGTTTTGAAATTCTGTTATAAGATGCATGCACATTTCAGATTGGTATAACTTCTTAACAAATTAACTCTTGTCATTATAAAATGCACATCCTTATTCCTGGTAATACTTTGTGTTATGAAGTTTATGTATCTGTTATTAAAATACATATTCTAGCTTTATTATGACTGAAGGTACATCATAGGTATTTTCAGTCCTTTCACTTTTAACCTATGTCTTTACTTTAAAACTACATTTCTTATAGGTAGAAAATGGCATTAATAGGTAATGTGAAATAGGAAGAAAAGGGGCAAAGGGGAAGGAAGTGGGAGGGATAGAGGAAAGGATAGAAGGGAATGGGATTAATATGAGAAAATGGAAAAATAGGAACAAAATCTTTGTAAATAGGGAGGAATGGAGGGGTTGAAGGGAGGGCTGGGCAAGGGTGAAAAATAAGAACCAAGAGAAATTATGTAAAGGTGCAAATTTCCAATGATGAATGTCATTATATTGTATACCTAAAATGGACCAATGATTAGAATGAATAATCAATAATGCAAAATAGGAAGAAAAGGTCCAAAGGGGTGGGGGTAGTGGGAGGGGCAGGGGAAAGGAAAGAAGGGAAAGGAAAAATGATGAGAAATGGAAAAAATGGAAATAAAGTCTTTGTAAATAGGGAAGGGTGGAGGGCATGAAGGGAGGGATAGGAATGGGGAGAAAATAAGAACCAAGATGCATCATGTAAAGGTACAATTCCCAATGAGAAATGTAATTGTGTTGTATACCTAAAATGTACCAATAAAAGAATTTAACAAACAAACAAAAAAAGAAAATGGCACAGTTTTGCCCTAAGTGCTCAGAAAATTCCTGCCTCTTATTGAAGTACCTAGATTACTTACATATAATTTTTGAATGTAGTGGTTTAAATCTAAAATATTATGATTTATTTCCTATTTGTCTCATATGTTTAATGTTTCTTCCCCCCTTTTGGTTGGTTCCCCTTAGATTTATGGGGAAAAAATTTACACACAGTTAACAGTATCTTCCTTACTGTACAATTTGATGAATTTTGACGATCCTACATGCACATGGGATTATTAGCAACATCATCATGTAGAATACCTCAGTATTAAGGAATTTTTAGTATTCCATTTTATCTCTATTTTTGTCTCATTCCCTTTTACAGTAGTCAACTAAGGATTTACAAATTGCATCTTTAATTTATAACCATTTACCTTCAAACAATATTATACCAACTTATTAATTAAGGAAGAAACTTGCAACTGTACATTCTGATTTCCTCTCTCTCATTGTTTGTGCTATAGTTTTTATATACTTTATTTCCCACAAGTATTTTAAAACCACAATATACTTTTATTTTGGCTCTAAACATTCATTATCTTTTGAATAGATTATAATACAAGAAAAGTGACCTATCTTTACTCGTACATTTTCCAGATTTAATAATCTTCATTTTATGTGGATATCCACATTTTCATCCAGTATCATTTAACTTGTAGTTTATAAGACAGATTTAATGACCCTGTATCCTTTCAACTTTTGTGTGAGAAAAACCCCTTTTTCTCAACTTTTTGAAATACATGTTTCAGGGTATGTAACTCTAGGTTGGCGGTTATTTTCTACCAGTATTTTCAAGCTATCATTCTTTTGTCTTTGAGTCTTACATAATTTCTGATAAGAAATCTATGATATTCTTATCTCTGTTACTATTTTATAGACCTTCTCCCACCATGAATGCTTTTAAGACTTTTTTTTAAAGTACTTATTCTCTGCAATAGGAATATCATTTTTCTCAATGTGACTATATATTTTTTTATCTTCCATGGAAGTTTGTTGAACTTTGTTGTTATCTTCCATAGAGTTTGTTGAACTTCTTAGATTTCTACATTTATAGTTTTCAACCAACATGCAAAATTTTCTGCTGTTAGTTCTTCAATTTTTTTCTGCCTCCCTCTTTTTTCTTTGTACGGGTCTCCAATTTCATGAATGTTACCTCACAGATCACTAAGTCTGTGCTTATTTTTTCTTGTTTTTGTATTCTCTGTGCTCCAGTTTGGATAATTCATATTATAGTCTTCACAGTTACAGAGCATTCCTCCCTTGTAGCTTCTAATTATCTTCTAATCTCATCCAGTGCATTTTTCACATTGAAACCTTCTGTTTACATTTTCCCCTATCTTCCATGTTAACTTCCCCTCTGTCTTCTTGACACAAAGGGTATATTTATAATAGCATTTTAAAATGTCTTTGCCTGCTAATTTCTCTCTATATCAATTCTGGATCTCTATTAATTGATCTATCCCCTTGTTTTGGGACAAGTTCTGTACTTTGGCTCTTAGCATGTCTGGATTTTATATTTTTTATGCTTTTGTACTGGGGTTGAACCCAGAGCCTCATAATGAATTACATTTCTCTTTTTTTCTCTCTTTATTTTTCTTTCTTTCTTTCTTTCTTTCTTTCTTCTTTCTTTTTACTTTGAGATAGAGTTTTGCTAAGTTGTTCAAGCTCAATTTAAACTTGATATTCTCCTGCCTCAGTCTTCTGAGTAACTAGGATTACAGATATGTGCCACCACACCAGGATGATGTCCAGAAATTTTAATTGGAGGACAGACAATAATAAATTTTCTGACTCAAGTGCAGGATTTGTTTTGTCTTGAGGTCTTAGTCTTCTTTAAAGAAGAATGTGGGGCTTATTCTGGATCAGTTGAATAGCTCTGAGGCTCCTTGTAAAGCTTTAAAGTGAAGACTGGAGTAATCTTGGCTCAAAGGCTCAACTATGACAAACACTCCTGAACACCCATGTGCTAAGTGAGGCCTCTTCATTCTGGCGGTTTCACTTTACCCCTGTGCAGATTGATACTTAGCCAAAGACTAGAGGGGTCCCTATGCGGCTTTCTGGGGCTCTTTGTCTTCCTAACTCCCTCATAGCCAGCAGTAGAATTCGCTCCACAGCTTCGAGTCACCTCAGATTTCCATGAGCTCCCACCTCCTTAGCTCAATGAGACCACCCAGCTGCGCCTGGGAGTCCTCTCCGGGTCTGTGAGCTGGAAATCACCTCCGGCCAGAATCTGAGGGTTCACTTTGGGCTCATGGGGATTATTTCCCTGTCGTCAAGGATCATACTCCTAGGCCACTCTATTGACCCATCTCTGAAAATGATTGTTTTTATTGTGTTTTACCATTTTTTCTAGTTATTTATAGTTGTGCGTATGTGTTGATTCCAGACCCCACTACTTCTTCATAGCAGGAAGCAAAAATTCCCCAGACACAGCAGACGCTGAGCTTTATTTCAATAATTCTGCTTTAAGTGAGAACAAATGTTGCAGACTGCTAAGCTTTCTTAGGAAAGCTAAAGTCTGTTTATTCTTTGACTTCCTTCCCCACATCTTTACTACTTCTAGTTCTCAGAAGACTTTATCCTAGTTTTGTTTGTAGTCTTAAAATTAATACGGTGACTTCCCAAATTATAACTTAATTAGTGCCAAGATGATGACCTCGAGTTGAGCTGGTTTCAATGGAAAACTTATTTCTTGGAGGCACAGTGTTCTGAACTGGGGCTCTGTCTTTGGAAAACCATTTTGCAATATAAAAATTCCAAAATTAGCCATCACCATGGTATGAAATTATTATAGGAAAGTGGTAAAGTGGTGATGAGAGACATTTGTGCTTCTTTGTGGCTTTCAACTGGAGCCATAGTTCAGCATAAAAAGTGCCAAATGCCTCACCTTTGAAGTCCGGAGAAATGTCTTTTCCACGTGA